CCCTCTGGACAGGGAGCAGGAGGGAAGACACAGGCATGTGGTCAAACCCGCAGGTCAAAAAGCACAAGGAGCTGGGGCCGGGGCAGGGAGCAGGAGCCCTGCCAGCACCTCCTGACGCGGGCACCCTAGTGCAGGGCCACAGCCTCAGTTTCCCCATCTCCCAGCCCCCCTGGGTCAAGCTTCCCCTGCCCAGCCCTCCTGTGTGGCTGCTTTCCTTGGTGCCCTCCCCACCCCCTATAGCTGTGATGTGTTGTAGTTTTTAGCTGTTTGTAAGATGTTAAAAAAAATGTTAAAAGGAAAAATGTGAAAACAACAAAAAAAGAAAATCCAAATTCACCCTCTTCATGCTGCGTCCGGGGGCCCCCCTGTGGCCAACCCCCCATTTGTATCACTGAACCCGACGGCGACTGTTTAGCTCTTTGGTGTCTGTGCTCACAGGACTGCCTTCTCCGTGCCGGCGCCCGGCGTGCCATCTCTCCCTGCCCCCCACTTGCCGGACGCAGCCCTCTCCCCCGCACCCCCTGGAGGGCCCCATCCATCTCCTTAGTCTCCTGGGGAACCCTAAACACAACTCTGTTGATGTGAAAAATGAAATGAAAAATATTGATGAAAAATAAAAAGGAAACAAAATCCTCAAAATCCAAAATGGCCTGGTCTGCTTTTTTGACTCTGCACCTGCATTTAACTCTGGCCCCGCTCCCAACAGCCCTGGGATGGAAAACTGGTAGAGGAAACAGAAGTGCCCTCCCAACTGAAGGCTAGGTCGCGCATTGGGTCCGCTTCCCAGCCTGCTCTGTCCGCTTCCAGACAGAGGAACCCCCAGCCGTCCGGGTTTGAAAACTGGGATAATGTCCTACACTCCATAGCAAAGAAACGGGTAACCTGATTAAAAACTGGGCTAAGGGCTTGAAACAAAGGTTTTTCCAAAAAAGACAAATTGCCAAAAGGTGTATGAAAAAGGCAGGGAAATGCACGTCAAAAGCACAAAAAGAGGCCACCTCCTATGACAGGATGGTTATTACAAGAAAAAAGAAAAAGAAAACACAAGAAACAGATGTGGGGAAAGCAGACGCCGGCCGGCAGGCTGTTGGTGGGAATACAAAATGGCATAGCTGCAATGGAAGAGTGTAGAGGTTTTTCAGAAAGTTAAAAATAGAAGTGTGTGATTCAGCAACTCCACTTCTGGGTATTTATCCAAAGGAATTGAAGAGATAATAGCTCTCCCGGGTTCACACAGCACCATGAGCTAACATTTGGGAATAACTTAAACATTCATCGGCGAATGGCTAAAATATGATGAACACATGCAATGGAATTCTATTTGACTTAAAAACAAGAAATTCTGTGACGTGGCCGGCTGCGCATGCTCGGTGCGGGGAGGGGCCGGGCCGGGCGGGGGTGGCCGGGCGGGGGTGGCCGGGCTGTGGACGAGCTCAGCCAGGGAGGGTTCTCTCTCGTGCCTTCAGCTGAGGGGTGGCTACAGGACGCGGGGTTCTGCATGGAAGCTACTTTGGGGGGGTCGACAAGGTAGGCGGATAGCAAGCGCTTAACGCTCGAGGTTCCGCGCTTCGAACCTCAGCTCCGCCACCTCCGTCTGCCACCCAAAGTGGGGGCGAGAATGGGGCCTCGAGTAGATAGTGCAGCTGGGCATCAGGGTGCGTGGCCCACGGCCGGCCCGGAGAAGCACCTGTTGCCGACGTTATGAACCGGACGGTGCCACACTGGTGCGGGGGGAGGCGGGAGTGAGAAGCCTTCCCCTAGGCTACTCTGGGCAAGAGTCACGGGGCTGCCCTCACAACGGCTGGTGGACGGGTGGGGGCCGGCGGGCGTCTGGACTCAGCTGCTGTCTCCTCCCCTGGCTCAGCCGGCTCCAGTGTGATGTCCTGCGTCTCCTGCTTCTTCCTGTCTTTTGGGAACAGCGAGTCAGCCATGATCGCTTTGCTCTGCCTTTTTGGGGGGGTCAGCATTGCCTCCTGGAACGCGCTGGACGTGTTGACTGTCGAACTCTACCCCTCGGACAAGAGGTAGCTGGAGCCGGGTGGAGGCGGGCTGCCAGTACAGGGGGCGGTGGGGTTGGGGATACACACCCCCCTTCAGTTTCTTCTCCGAGAGCCAGAGCGTCTGTATGCACTCCTGAGAGTCTTAGCTATTAATCTACCTTTGGGTCTCTTCCCTCTCACCTCCCAATGTCTCCCCCTTCCTGACGTACATCCCTCATCCCTCGTCCCTCGACCCTCGCACCTTTCTGCCCTCCTCTCCACCTTGGATACCACCTGCCTTCTTCCTCCTCTTCCCCAACCCCCTCTGCCCCCCACCTGCTGCTTTGGGCGACTGGGGAGCAGAACCACCGCCTTTGGCTTCCTGAATGCGCTGTGCAAACTGGCGGCCGTGCTGGGGATCAGCATCTTCACATCCTTCGTGGGGATCACCAAGGCTGCACCCATCCTCTTTGCCTCGGCTGCCCTTGCCCTTGGGAGTTCTCTGGCCCTGAAGCTGCCTGAGACCCGGGGGCAGGTGCTGCAGTGAGGGGTGCCCAGGGCGTGGGGTGGCAGGCACACTGTGAGACCAACAGCTTCTCCCCTCCCTGCCCTGCCACTGCGGCCCCCCAGCCCTCTTTCCCTGCGCCCGTTTGGTGTCTTAGTCGTGTGTGTGCGCGTGTGCATGTGTGACCCTGTGGGCAGGGACGACAGGGAAGGCGCCAGTTTCTGGGTGTAGCTGTCACTCCCCACCTCCTACCACCCGACTTTGCACAAGAAGAGGCTCGGCCCTCCCTCCCCCGGTGTTAGTGAAGGGCCCTGCTGCTCCAGGCTCCGGAACAGGATTCCCGCTGCCCCGTCGTCCCCTCTGCCTAGGCCCTGGGCGGCGGTTCTGCTGGGGACTGGGCTTGGTGTGGGTCGCGGACCAGAAGCCCTCCTTCGCATGGGGCGGCCCTGTGCCCTGCACACCTGCTGGACGCTGGGGAAGTAGCAATAAACCTCAGCCCCTGGCCTCCACTCCCCCCCACCCCCTGCAAAATTAGCTTTCGGAGTCGTGTTTATATTAAGTTCTGAGGCAGCTCGGCAGGCCTGTGTGTGTGTGAGTTGCATGTGCGTGTGTGTGTATACTTGTGTGTGTGTGTGTACGTGTCGTGGGGTGGGGGTGTGACTATACTGTCCTAATATAAGGGTGACATTAGTGGACACACACAGTCCTGCGTCCAGGTCCCTCTCTTAACCCTGTGTTTGGGCCAGGCCTGGGGGAAGGAGCCCCAGGCCAGATGGAAGATGAGCATCTCACAGTCTCGGGGAGCTGGGGGCGCCCCTGACTAGTCCACCCCACTGCTCCTCTCCAGCAGCACAGGCCATCTCTGGAGGGAGAGGCCCGCTCGCCTGCCCACCTGCTCCCTTTCCCCTCTGGACAGGGAGCAGGAGGGAAGACACAGGCATGTGGTTAAACCCGCAGGTCAAAAAGCACAAGGAGCTGGGGCCGGGGCAGGGAGCAGGAGCCCTGCCAGCACCTCCTGACGCGGGCACCCTAGTGCAGGGCCACAGCCTCAGTTTCCCCATCTCCCAGCCCCCCTGGGTCAAGCTTCCCCTGCCCAGCCCTCCTGTGTGGCTGCTTTCCTTGGTGCCCTCCCCACCCCCTATAGCTGTGATGTGTTGTAGTTTTTAGCTGTTTGTAAGATGTTAAAAAAAATGTTAAAAGGAAAAATGTGAAAACAACAAAAAAAGAAAATCCAAATTCACCCTCTTCATGCTGCGTCCGGGGGCCCCCCTGTGGCCAACCCCCCATTTGTATCACTGAACCCGACGGCGACTGTTTAGCTCTTTGGTGTCTGTGCTCACAGGACTGCCTTCTCCGTGCCGGCGCCCGGCGTGCCATCTCTCCCTGCCCCCCACTTGCCGGACGCAGCCCTCTCCCCCGCACCCCCTGGAGGGCCCCATCCATCTCCTTAGTCTCCTGGGGAACCCTAAACACAACTCTGTTGATGTGAAAAATGAAATGAAAAATATTGATGAAAAATAAAAAGGAAACAAAATCCTCAAAATCCAAAATGGCCTGGTCTGCTTTTTTGACTCTGCACCTGCATTTAACTCTGGCCCCGCTCCCAACAGCCCTGGGATGGAAAACTGGTAGAGGAAACAGAAGTGCCCTCCCAACTGAAGGCTAGGTCGCGCATTGGGTCCGCTTCCCAGCCTGCTCTGTCCGCTTCCAGACAGAGGAACCCCCAGCCGTCCGGGTTTGAAAACTGGGATAATGTCCTACACTCCATAGCAAAGAAACGGGTAACCTGATTAAAAACTGGGCTAAGGGCTTGAAACAAAGGTTTTTCCAAAAAAGACAAATTGCCAAAAGGTGTATGAAAAAGGCAGGGAAATGCACGTCAAAAGCACAAAAAGAGGCCACCTCCTATGACAGGATGGTTATTACAAGAAAAAAGAAAAAGAAAACACAAGAAACAGATGTGGGGAAAGCAGACGCCGGCCGGCAGGCTGTTGGTGGGAATACAAAATGGCATAGCTGCAATGGAAGAGTGTAGAGGTTTTTCAGAAAGTTAAAAATAGAAGTGTGTGATTCAGCAACTCCACTTCTGGGTATTTATCCAAAGGAATTGAAGAGATAATAGCTCTCCCGGGTTCACACAGCACCATGAGCTAACATTTGGGAATAACTTAAACATTCATCGGCGAATGGCTAAAATATGATGAACACATGCAATGGAATTCTATTTGACTTAAAAACAAGAAATTCTGTGACGTGACATGGGTGAGCCCTGCGGACACTGTGCTGAGTCACAGAAAGACAGAAAGACAAATACTTGATTCCACTTGTATGAAATACCGAAAATAGCCACATTCATAGAGTCAAGGAATGGATGGCGGCCAGGAGTGCGTGAGGGGGAACCTAGAGGCATAAAGTTTCAGATAAACATGAGCACGGTGGAAGTCCACCGTGGTGCATCTTACCAACAGTCTGCTAATGTACTGTACACTGGTTAGCTCTCATGCCACAGGAGACCAGGAACAACTTTCCTGCAAATTCTCTGATATCTTTAAAAATATAATGATGCCATTCATTCATGACTTTTGGAGTCAGAATCCTATTTTTGGGTGAGACTGAATCTAGAATTTCACATTCTACACAAGCTCCGTTAGACATTCTTATCTGTGAGGAAACCTGAAAACCGCTGCTTGGGAGTTGCCACGGACGCCCCCCTCCAGTCCATTTCCATCCTCAAGCTATTTTCAACTTTCTGTCTTAAATTTTCAAGTCAACTTCTTCCTTTCCACTCCCACAGCTGACTGCTCTCAAGGTTCCACTTCACCTTCCATGGATTTCAGTGTCTTCAACCTGTGCCAACCCATTGACAAATCGCTACCAAATGTGCTCCAAAATGCTGTCAGCTTGTCCCTCTGCAAACCTCAACCTACTCCCAAGCCGATGCAGCGCCAACTCTTTAGCCAGAAGTGGCAAGATTTGTTAGTCAAGCCTTTTTATCATCTTTTCTCTGCTTTATAATGTTCTATTTAAAGTTTTTCCTTACAAACACACCTTTGTGGAAGTAGGCATGACGTTAGAAAGCCAAACATTCCCCCAAGATGGCTCAAATGTGCCTATAACTGTCAAGAACACTGTCTGGCGCCTCCCTGCCTGCAACACCCTTCCTCTTCTTTCTGAGTTAATTCCCTGCTTTCACGACCCAACTAGGTCACTTCCGCTGTCAACTCCTTTCTGACTTCCTTGGAAGTTCTTCTCCCAAGAACATCGACGACACTTACTCAACAGGCCATTAACACAATGCACTTCAGAAGCGAATTTTTCTTTTTAATGAACAGGATACATTTTTTTTTTTTGTACAGGATGATTTTGAACGCCTCAGGTCTGGTGTTTCCTTAGTCGCAATTTGACATGAGAAAAAGACTGCTTTCTCTGAAGGTCGGGGCCAGAGCTCCAGTGAGTGACACCTCGGGAGAAAGTGGGCACGAAAGTGCGCACCTGCAGGCCCGCCCCCCCCACCCCTTAGGCGCCAGGCCGGGTTTAGAGGTTTAGGGGAGGCGGCCCGCGGTTTATTCTCGCTCAACCCATCTGGGTCCCGATGCTCCCTCTCTGCGGTTCAGGGGCTTCCTCGAGTTTTCTTGCCTCCACCCAGGCAGGGGGGGCTCGTGTCTAGTTGCGGGTTCTCCTTCCACTGGGCGGGGGTCCGCGCCTGTATGGCCAGCGCGTGGACGGGCCCGGCCAGCTCCTCCGACAGCGCAGCGTGGACCAGCCGATGTCGCTGCAGCGGGCTGAGCCCCTCAAAGCGGGAGCTCACCACCGCCACGCGGAAGTGCGTCTCGCTGCCCGGGGGCACCGCGTGGCCGCCGCTCTCGTTGCACAGCTCCAGCACCTCGGGGTCGAGGGCCTGTTCCAGCTTCGTACGAATGGCGGCCTCGACCGGGCCGATGGCCCCCGGCCCAGCCGCGCCCCGGGACGGACAGACGCGGCCGGCCATGGACAGCAGGCGGCCGAGCCTCCTGGCTCTCAGCATCGGCTACTGCGGAGACAGGGACGCGCGCACAG